CTTGTAGTGCCTGAACCTGCAACTGGACTGTTCTTAGTCCATGGTTAAGACCACTGAGGTACAGTTCTCAAAAAGAAGAAAAAGCCGTAGAGTGCTTTTCTGGGCGTATGGTTGAGTGAGTCCAGTTGTTAGGAATTCCTACCTTTACTCCTCCTACTAATCTTCTGCAAACATAGGATTTTCATTGCCTTTTTTCTCTTATGTGTTCGCGGATTCCGTAACTGCATGTACTTTCTTCATTGTTATCAGCCTCCCGCCCAAGAATCGCCTATTTTCTGCTAAAGTTCACCTCAAGCCTGAACTCAGTTTTCATTGGCATGTGAAGTGTTTGTAGCTCGACCTTGGGTTCCGGCGATACTCATTCTAACAAGCAGATAATGTGGCTTTCTGCTAGGGATATTTGTCGCCCCCATCATGCTTCGTTCTTTGTCCGATTGATTCCCGTCTTCGTAACCAACTGCGGCCGGTTTTCGGCTTGACGCTTAGTATAGATACAAGTTGCTCCAGGCTGTTTCCCTCCTCATAGGTCTTCAGTATTCTGCTCTTGACCTCCGCTGAGTGGGGTGCAGGAGTGCCTTTAGTGCCATTCGGAGTACAGCAACATGGAAGTCACCCAGTTGCTTTACATGTATACGGTTTGGCGCAAGCTTCTTAATTTAGGACCTGTCCGAATCGGCCAACTACCACTTGATAAGTCTTCTCGCAGTGCTTTCCAAGGAATTCGCTATTAAGGAGAAAGGCATGGAATACATGGGAAGATTTAATATCATCCTAGCGGAACAACACCGTTTCCGTCGAAACCACTCATGTGCCACCAAACCCTTGTTAGCCTGCGCCAGCTGGACGGAATCTGTAACTCCTGAGAAGCAAGTTGACGCTGTGTACGTCGATTTCTCGAAAGCATCTGATCACCTTGAACACAACCTGCTTCTTCTCAAACTTCTGAACAGTAAGTTCGTAGATCCCATGCTGGGTTAGATACGGGCATTCCTGATTCAACCTCGCCTAAATGTTAGAGTCCGTGGCGCCTGTTGTGATCCGACCGAGGTGCAATGTGACACCCCACGAGGCTCATTTCTAGGACCAAGTCTTTTCCTCGTCTTCACCAGCGATCACATAGGAGTGATGAATTCAAATCTTTTACTATTCGCGGATGTTCTCGAAACCTGCCGGAGTATAGGGGACGGTAAACTACCATATGACACCACAAGGTGATCTTGCTAGGGCTCACGATTGGTCAGTTCAGAACATGCTTGATTTCAACGCTGCGAAATGTCGAATACTGGCATACGCCACAAGAGAACTTACAAATACTGGCTGGGAAAACAGTTTTTGCAACGTCTCTCCCATGAAAATAATCCTGAAGAGCTCATGCAGGCCAATCTCGGTTGCCGAAAACCGGCCAAAAAGGCAGCAAGAAATGCCAAGCAGCACTTGAGTCTCTTGCGGTTAGCGCTTGGCAGGTTTGATCCCACCATATTTTCACAAATGCGCAACGCTTACGTAAGGTCACATGTTGGATAAATTATCTTTTTCTGGTACCCCTGACAAAAGCATGGTCTTGCTGCTCATGTGGTTCCACAAACAAGAGCAACAAGAATCTGGCACTCTCCTGACTCACCTCCCTTACCAGCATAGACTACAGACCCCCGGAATGTTTGGTGGTCAAAAGCGTCGCCTACGCGTGACTTTATTTTAGTGTTGCAGCTCCTAAAGGATCTAAACCATGCATGTTGGCACTTATTGAGATTAAGTCCTAAGTCCTCAATTAGAGGCCAGCAGTTGATGTTAGCCACACAGTACAGCAAGGTGGAATGACGCCGGTTTTGTTTCTCGCTTTCTGTGTCCCAGTGATGGAACCCTGTCCACATTTCCATCATCACCGCTCCTGTAATGACTGAATTCAAACTTAATTTGATGAAACATTACAACCCATACACTACAAGACTTAACCAATGTTACTGAGACACATCACGACAGCCAAATTACGTACACCACTAAAACTTCCGTGACTTCACCGACTTGGGCTTCCTTTGTTTCTGTTGAAATATTCACATTCTGTTTTCACTCTTTGTCTGCGGAGATTGTAAATAGTAACTGTTTTACCAGGGTTAAATTTATTGATCCATTGATCCGACCGCTTTGTGTACCTAAGCGGGCTTCTGGATTCAACCTCACTGTTAGACTCAGCCTTACGTTGGTGGTTACCCCAGTAATCAAGCCACTTGAGTGTAACACAGTAAGACTGACAAGCAGCCCGGTCACAGCTACTGTAACAACAACTGTGACGCCTTTCCATGTGAGATTTTCAACTCAGCCCTGTGTTTTATTGATCTAAAGCAGGCTCTCCTACCCCAACGGTCGCAATCGTCTCATATTCAGCAGCATTAAGACCCATGCAACCTTGGAAATCATTGCGTTACCTTATCGATCCAAATCATCTATTCGTTAAAGCAAGTGGTATTTCCGGTGACAGTAGGGTTTTTGAAAATGAGTGCAAATGAGGCTTAGGATGATACGTTGACACCGCATCCATGTTTCAAGCATGTGAGTACACTGCGTGTATTATGCCGTGTGAAGCCAACTCTACCAAATGACATTAAACATTTGACGTAACCAGACGGGCACCTTTGTTTGTGGATAAAGACTCATAATGGCATATTTTATCTGAAGTGTACGACCGCATCACGCTTGCTATGTTTGCAGGCTAAGGGTTAGGACGAGCTCTGAAATGGCACACGGCTGTAAGATTTTGTGTTCGGATACAAACGCTCACAGCTGAATGACTGCGACTGGTGGGGACCTGTGATGCTAAAATCTTCTGACGTTCTTGCGTATAAAGCAAAAAAGCGTCCTGCGTACATTGAGCGTGAAATGCGGTTTGGAAGGTGATCGCTAGTGTTTAAGCCCACAAGCGTTATGCGCAGCTTAACTGGCAATCATACTACGTGCAGTATGTCACTGCACCCAATATGAAGCGGGTTGATGAGATAACATAGGTTCGCATTAGCTGGTCTGTACGGTATCATTTGGGTACTATGTTCGCCAGATAGCAGGCGCCCTAGCGAAGAGGCGAGGGACCTGCACTGCGACTGGCAATCGGATTCGTCGAGCCAGACGTATCAGGTGGCGGACCAAGGGCGGACATGGGCCTTAAGGTCGTTTTTTGCCTGGCCTTGTTTTCAGCAGGGGATATTCTAAGTGTTTTTATAGTGCTGGCGCTCGCTATTGCGATATACGTCTTGGGCTTTCCTGCAACTCATCCTAGTTCTCATTGGGCAGTGGTGTTTATATTTCCGTCAAGTTAGTGGAGGATGCATGTGTTCGGTTCCATCTCGTGTAAAATATGCAAACGCGGGCAGGTAAACTGGTGCAACGAATGACGCATTTTCAGAGTTAGACACGGTCTGAGCGGGAGCAGTATGCAGACCGGAAAGCGCGTTGGTTCATCATAAGCCGTTCGTCGTTAACTCCTGCTAGACACAGGTAGCATTGAAAGCTGATGGCTTGGGAGACAGTGTGCTGACGAAAAATATCGTGATCAAGGTTACAGCATACTATGTGCATCCGCCCATTACAGAGAGCCCACTGGAGGCTTTTGAGCGAGAGACATGTTTGCAATACTCCATGCTCTTGGAAGTTATAAATGCAAAGAAAATATTTGACGAAAGTCAAATATTGTTACATTTCTGTTTAAACGCTGCTTTCTACTATAATTCTCCTAAAATTAGATGTATAGCACATTGAAAATCTAGCTGCTGTGTCAAGGTCAGTCCGTTTTCAATTCGGGAATATATTTCACTCAGGGAAAGGCCTTTCAGCATAATTTTCCATCTTTAAACGTTCTAAATCAAAAGCGAACTGAAGCTGTAAGAAGTACTCGCCAAATTTTACGTGTTCCTAGGAGATTAAGCCATCTACTTTTCGAACACTCCTTTACTGGGTCTACCTCATTTACTTAGTTGTTTTTACTGGCAATCATTTGAAATTCCATCATTGCCTACCTTGATCCTAATGTTCTGCTTTTCCTCCATGATCTATGGGAGCCCATTGAAATCGACTGATGGAGTCTGATTGAGCGTCAGTGGAAGACTGAAGTACTCATTTGGACAATTAGTTCGCATTTTATTTTTCTGGTCAGAACATATCGGTTCACTTCGGTGGGGCAAAAGTTAGCAGAAGCAGAGGCAAAACATTGCATAACCAGAAGGAACCCCACTAAAGAGTCTGTTCCAATACACTCATCTACCCTTTTCCTTGAACCCCATGCATGTCTGAGAATGTATTGCATATAACAGCAAACATTTTATCAACCCATATATTGAAGGGACAGTTATACGGTCCCTATAAGGTTATAATAACTGTGAAATAATAGCTCAAAAATGTTGATATTTTCCTGATTGGGAACAGTCACTCGCTCCGTCGATAAATAAAAGGTTCATGTATTTAAAAGTTGATTTGGTTGTACGATGCTCCTCAGGGAGTGTAATGGCTGTCTGACTAAGCCTAAATGTGATACATTTCAACATTTACGATTCATTTCCTTCTCCCGCCGCTTGTAATCATCTAGGATTATTAGCTGCGTAGCAGCGAGGCAACATGAAAACAAACGGATGTTGTTGATGATGTTGGCTGAGACAGAAGTCAATTTAAACCGGTGCACTGTTTCCTTACTGCTGAGACCGTTCAATTCACAACAGACAGTGAATTACCAGTTGAGGTTACTGACTTCAGCTGGGCCTAATTTATTCCGTTTGTAATGAAATTAAATAGAGTGGCTGCGAGTCCTTTTAGTTTTATAAATTCATAATCTACCTTTGCCGGATGTTGACGTTTTAGATTTCCCTCCTGAGGCTTAGAATTTGCTATTTTACAACTTTCAGCAAATAAAGGTGTATCTCACAGAAGAATATTGCACTCATTCACACTCTATGTTTACTGGAGTTATGTTTACTCACATAGAACCGAAGTGCGAACAATTACGTAATTCAGGCACGGTCCGGTATCTATTTATATCCATGGTGACATCACAAAGAAAGCCATCACAAACAAGGAAAATAGAATAGTCACATTGATAAAACTTAGAAAGCGCTTGAATCGAAGCAAAGTATAGAAAATGTCTTTGCATGAAGTGATGGTTCCCTTTCAAGTTCGCCTTTCTATAGAACATATTCTATTTTGATTGGCAATAGACACGCTTTGGAGCGTTCTTCTCTAGGAACCAAGCTGTTGTTTGTTTGTGAATCACGAAAGTATGACCTAGGCCAGAGGCAAACTGGACATTTGAACAATCAGATTTTGCTTTGAAGTCAAGAGCGAGAGACCGGAGACCGATGTGTAGTATTCGGGGGATAAGGAGTATACACACAGGCTGTGCTGAGAAAAGAACAAAATTGGGGATTGTTCGGAAGTCCGAGAACAAGGCAACAATTTGAGTAGACGTGTGAGAAGTAGGGAATGGATGTTGAGCAGGGGCTTTACACTCGAAAATGGAAGGAAATGTACTATTTCCCACAGCCATTGAATGATGAACAATTGACTCTACAGGAGGCAACACTGTAAACCCTAACTGCCTAACAGGTTGGCTTTGAGCGAAGTAAATTGGCCGTACCAATTGTGTCTCCATGTCCATGTCTACTGCTAAGCACAGTGTGAATGGATGGCCAGTTATCACACGATTAAGTGAAATTGATTGTGTAGCACCCATTCAAAAGGAAGGGATTCAAACTAGGTTGTAAATCTGTTTACAGTTAGCAGTTTTCATATAACTTAATAGAGGACCTTGGAACTGGCGACTGGCGTCAGGTTGTATAAAAGCCTCAACAGGGATTATATAAAAATCCGTTTTTGCGTACGTTCTGGCAAACACCTAAGGAAGCAAAGATTGCCAGGATACACCCACAGAAATCGTGATTGCTGTTTCAGCCGACAAACGGGCGATGAAGTTGTGGTAATTATTTCCTGATAATCATGCTCACAAAGCCTGATCATTTGCTTTGTGGACTTTTTCTTGCAAGTTGGAAAGAGCAAATATTAGTCACCGAAGGTCGTCCAAAGATTTTATTGCAATTCGCGGTGAAAATCACCTAGATTCATCGGTGTCCAACCGCTTGTGTGATTTGACCTTCTTCAAAGCTTTTGTAAGTACACTCTTTGCCAGCTGCATCGTTGGCGGTGGATTCGAACCCGAGGGAGTATGCGCTACCCTTGGTGACTGATCTGCGTTTCTCCCATCTGTCTCTGTCGAACGTGTGAGTAGGTTAAAGAAGAGGAACGCCAAGCTTGCATTAATGAGGAGAACAAAAACGATGACGAAATTGGCGCGAACCCAGTCCTGTAAAGTGAAAAATACAGATATCCGGTAGGAATGAAATAAATAGTTCTACTAACGTTTAAAACCTTTTGATCATGATTGTGTTGTTGGCTCATGTAGAGCTATTACAGCGAAATGTACGCAAAAACCTAGGCGCATATTGTATTTAACAATGTATACAGAGTATGCCTGCGTTTGGTAAAGCCGGCAAGCACGTGAGTTCATTGAAGCCTGGCATTCAAAGCAGAACTCGATCAATAAGCACTTGGACACTGAAGTCGCTTACGAGGCACTGCGAACCAGGCTCCTGAAACCGCACTGATGATGTTGCCTAGTCAGGCAACGAAACGTCTGCACAATAATCATTCAGCTCGGAGAACCGCTCAAAATCTACGTTTGGTAACTCATACGCCGACACACCATTGTGAAAAATTCCTGCTTTACCTTTAAAAGCGAAACCTGTAGTTTGATATTTTGTAGTTTAAATAAAAACAGAGTGCACCAAATTGCCTTTTTAACCTTGAATTATTATTCTCATCATGTTTATTGTTCTTACTGGGCCTAAAGTTGTTTTGAACGCACAATATCTAGTCGAGTAACCTATATATTGTAGTATGTGTCAAACTGGGATCAAAACACTGTAAAAACAATGTGTTTCTTCCAACTGAAATGCAGCATTTCTAACTAACAACAGAGCATCAGCAATATGCGTAAACTTGGAGAGTATTAGTGCAAACCGATAATCCTTGTTAGTTATGCGATTCTTAACCAGCATCCGTGTTATCTGATCAGACAGTTATGCTAGAGGAAGATGCCCTGTGAAACCCAAGCGACCGGAGCAGGGTTGCATACATTGCAATCGGGTATCCTGTATTAAGCTCACATCCACTTATTTCTTCCGATAACAAACCACTTTTTTCCCTTCCTCACCTGTAATACAAGGAATATTTTCCTGCATTTTATTGCCTTTGGTAACAAGCGATCGACATTTGTTTTGTTACCTGAGTTACTATTTAGACACGGAGAAAACAATACATTGCCCTAAAAGCTCATGTAAATAAGCGTCAAGTATCTAACGGTAAGTAATGTAATGCTACGTTCAGTACTCAAAAATATTTGAATTCTGCTGACCAAAATGCAAAGTTGGTTGCTGGAGGTTCCAAGGAGAAAGCGAACGCAGGAAAAAAATAGCTAACAAAACAAGGGCACTGTTCAACTGCGTAGTATGACATTTGAATCTAACATCAAAGTCCGCAACTTTAAAAATGTGATTATGCTATTAATAGAAAACTCAGAATATATAATCAGTTGCTTTGGAAACTTGCATCATTATCATTTCTATTCGGTGCTTCTGATAAACCTAATACAGATCACTTGTAGGGAACAAGGTCCATCGGTTTAGTTCTCACATGGAAATACGACAAAATTACCTAGGTTGGAAATGTCGTCACCTTTAATGTAGTTATACAAAATAACCTGGGAGATGTGAGGCGTGTCTTGCTCAACGCGCGCAGTGGTAGTAGGGTACGTTTAAGATAAGTAACGTTTAGGTACACATGTCTAATTCTTCTGACAATTCCTCAAAAGACGAGTACTTGCTGTCAACACCGACTCCAAGAGTACCACAATCAATCTTGATCAAATGCACTTCAGAGGAAAATGAAGGTTAAGTGGCAAGTAACTTGCACCCCTAACCAGCAGCCTATGACACTGGACCATGGGGAAGGAAGCTGATAAACATAAATTGAAAACTTGCTGCGAGGTAGCCGACCCATCCTACACTGCCATGCAGGTCACTACTTGTGCAGCCATGGGTTCGGTCTTCTGCAGAAACTTAGGAACAGAACACCACTGTTCTATCCCAATAGGGCAAATGGATCGAGTGGTGATTTTATAACTGTCACTGACCGTTGTGGGTATAGACTAGCTACGATAAAACAAAGAAACCTTACCAACTCCGACTACTTATTAGTAATCAACTAATATATGATAGGCGTGAACTTCCGTCATTCGTTCTGCACCTTGAGCTGGTCTGGTTGCACCCACTGTTAGCAATATCTATGTATATCGGTTATTGTTAATGGTACTGAGGAGACAATACGAAATGCACGCATGTACCAGCCTTCGTCTTCTTTCTGTGATGTTCAAAGTTTTGAAGGAGCTAACTGCTTTTAACATATGATAGTCGCAGACAACGTGATTTGCCTGTAATAGAGCAAAGAGTCGCCTTAATGTTATGAAGACATATGAGTCATTCCACTTATAATGGCAAGAACAAACCTATGCAATTTAATGTTCATTATTTAGTTCAAAAAATGCACCCACTCCGGGGCCTTGTCACTCATTAAGATCCATATTTCTTGCTTTTAATTGGATCGTGGTGTGCAAGTGAGAGTGGACCATGTTCTTAATAACAAAAATATGTTTGTCATAGATGAGGGAGTGACCGAATCACATGCTGCACGAATAGCTCGTGATTCACAATGTAGGGACCGGCAGCCCTCATCAATTGCTGAGTCTGCATGCATATAGGTATCTTTTAAATAATAGTAGGATATCGGTTGGTTGGTGTGTTAACCACCCATCTCCTGTGCCATTGAAATAGCTTTAATCCACAACTCGCGTCTTTATTATTTGTTACCAAGCGAATGCCATCTTGGGGCTCGCATGATTACGACATCGTTTGCTTAGACAATGGTGAAACACTACTCAGTTTGTATGCCGACCACTAAATTTACCTCTCCAGCAAGAACTTTCGCCATCCTCGACGTCACTACCAAACCTGGCACGCTGCATGGTCCCCTCAACGTTGGTCAAAGATTGACCACATGGCCATAAGCCATCGCCTTCGTGGCAGTATTCAGGACTGCAGATCCTATTGGTCAACATGCGCAGAAACTGATAATGCTCTAGTGCGTGCGTCTGTTTACATGCGTTTCGGTGGCTTGCCTAGGACTAGCCAAATCAAGTTAACTCTGGTAAACTGTAAGACCCCGCAGTGCAATCCGAATATCAAAAGCAGCTTCGTGGAAACCCCACGTCGCCGCCTCCTCGGGAAGTTAAGTAGCATTGGTCGCGATTGCAACAGATTATGTTTTCTGCGGGTTTATCCAGTGGCGATATTGTTCGTTGCACAAGTATATGTTGGATCTCGGCCATCTCCGCGGAACTTCTCGACTATCGGCGAGCTACACCCATCCGTGTGGAGCACGCTGAGCTCTACCGTTCTATTTACAGATAACTGAAATAAGTGTTTGACGTGACCGTGAATCATGGTGGTCTAAACAGGCCAAGAAATTGGAAGCTGCTGCCTGTGCTGATCATAGCCGCAGATTGCTCTATCTCATCAGATCCACCGGACGCAAAGTTCAGGCCATCACTCAGACCATTTGTGAGTCAGACGGTACAAAGAATTGATTGATTGATTGATTTTATCTTGAGTCAAAATATGTCTGTAGGCCTGCAAGTGGAGTATTTAAAGGATATGATTCTATTGTGCACTGAGAACATACGGTTTGAATTTGAGGGGACCGCATGCAAACAGATCGACGGGGTCGCTATGGGCAGCCCGCTGGGACTAGTTTTAGCCGACATCTTCCTCGGCCTGATAGAAAGGCAACTTGCTGAGTGCATTGGTGTAGCGAAAGTGTACAGACGATATGTGAATGACATTTTAGTCTTCACCAGCGGAGAACATTTTAATCGGCTACTGACCATCCTAAATTCGATTCACCCCAATCTGTCGGTATCCCATGAAGTGGAACAGCACCATTGTCTGGCGTTTTTGGATATACTCATGAGGAGACAGGCTGAAGGTACGTAGCAACGCACTGTTCACCGCAAATCGACTTGGACTGGACAGTACCTTCATTTTTCAAGCTTCGCCCCGATCGCATACAAACGCGGGTTAGTGAGAACTCTCTTCTACCGGGCTAGACGTATTTGCAGCCCCGAAACGTTACAAGCCGAAGAAGAATTTCTACGCAACACCTTAATTTCTAATGGATATCCTGAGAAGTTTATTCAAGTACACAGCAGACCTCCCAGCGTGAAAACACCGGTGTTGACGGCTGAGAAAAAGAATGTTTATTTGTTCTTGCCGTTCAAGGTGGACCATGTGGCAAATGACATCGGACGAAAGCTCCGGTCCGCCCTAACGCGAACCTACACGACAGCCCAGTTGCGACTCAGGCATACCACGCGAGCACTTGTTCTTCATAACCGTCAGAGCATCTCGTTGGTTAGTTCGGCCTCTCACGTTGTCTATCAGTTCATCTGCGGTTGCGGTGACATTTACATAGGCAGAACAAATCGTCAGTTAGCTCAGAGGGTAGCTGAACATTTGCCAAAGTGGTTGGGACAAGTGATTACGCAACAACATGGGAGGAATCTGAGAATCAATCGGAGCCCGGCGTCGTCTATCACCAAGCGCCTCATGACAACCCGTCATCACGTGAACACCGAG